TCATTATTTAGTAACAATCGTACTAAATTCTACTTTAGGCACAGATTTCTTGGGATTATGTAAGTGGTGCTTTGGCTTTTACTTTTACTCATTCACTCATCGTATATTCCCCAAATGCTAAAAGTTTCCTCCATTTGATCTCCAAACAACAGATCCGTGCAAATTAACCAATAATTGAGGACAGTCCAGAGTGCAGAGCATTTTGTTGCGTCAGGATCCGGTAATGGTGCGAGGTCTTCCCACTCCATCCGCTTGCTCGTGAACTGTATCATGGTAAACAACTCCGTCACTTCGTGTTTACGTCCCACGGGAAACACTGTGATATAAAAGGAATCAACGTGTTTTAAAAGTATTGCTTCTCACTCACTTACTCACTCACTTACTCACTCAGACACCACACTTAAATTGTTCCGCTACAATGCAGACACGAACGGTAGATACACAACTTAACTTACATTTAGTGTCAGTGTTGGAACGTGAAAGCATTCACAGGTATTTGTCCTAAATCATGATTCTACATTCCTTTTGCACTCCGTCAAAACACTAATCCGCTATGTCGAGGTGCAGCAGACCAACATGTGTAACCGTCAAGTGAGTCGTGTCACGATATATATTTACAGTGTCACGCTCCTGTTTCACAACACGTGATATATGTCACGGGGATGATAAGATGCGGAGGTTGTCAGGTCGTTTTACTACGTCTCAGGTTACACAGAATATAGAAGTATAGAATACAAGCGAATCGACAGGGAGATATTGTCCTCTGTGGGATATGTTAAAGACAGACTATGAAACAAAACCTTGTACCCACTGTCAGTCACTGTCTTCAAATTATGCCTAAAATATACACATATTGTTACAGTGAAGTTCGTATGAAGACATTTAGAAATTGAATGAAAATGAATACATGACACGTTTTTATGGATTTCGTAATTCTTTATACGTCGTATAAAGAATAAAAAGAAGTTGTTATCTAATATTCAGATATTGTTACGGATGTTATCTATGTAAAAACAAACGTACTTATGGCCATACAAGCAATCTGATTGATTTGATTTCACACATAAGATTTACATGGACAGGGGATACTGCACAAGGAAATGGAAAATAAAATGGAGAAAGCAAGCAACGATTGGGGCTTCTTGGCTTTAGTTCTATCTATTGTATTTGAAGGCTAGAAATCATCGCCCAAAACAGAGCCAGAACACGTTTTTGACAGGCGAGCGGATCTTCCAAATACAGCCGGGGTCGCGGGGGTCATATACCTTTTTTTCTTTCTTTTTTAATTTTTTTTTTATAAGTTCTGGAGAAGAAATAGTTCCCTCTTTAAAAGGATGTATATCAGTTGTTCTTGGGTCTACAGTCAAAACAATTAGTGTTCTGGAATCACCAAGACTTCATCTACCATTCTGGTACTTTTGCAGAATTTGCACAATGGTAACTGGACATCATTTATGGAAAGTTTGGAATGTCTGGAGCCGATGATTCGAGCTCAGCACATTTTGGGAGCAAACTACATTAAACTCAGAAAACTGCTGAAAAACATGGCCAAAAACTGAAAACAAAAATAACTGCCAAACGGTACATTTTAGCGACTTGACCCGTCCAGGCAAAATTGTTGGGAATTCGATTGTGCATCTGTACAAGAGATTTGGAAGTGTTGGAACAATTAGTTCTTGAGATATTTGCTGTCAAGCTTTGAAATTTTGGAATTAATGTTGAATTATCTCCCCTTTGCTATAGGGGCCTAGAGCCTAGAGATTTTTAAGGGGAATATCTTCACCTCGATGGCTATCTGTGTGATTTTTTGTAAGCGATTCGGAGCATTGGTTTAGGAGGTATGTTTGGTACAAAATCGGCTGAATAATAAATAATAATAATAGTAATCCAAACGATTACTTTAGGCCTCCTGCCTAGAGGCAAGGCGCCCTAATAATCGTTCTGTATCATTATCCAGTACTTCATGTTACTTTAGTCATTTCCGAGGTGTCTTTTACGATCGAGTAACCTAGTTCTTGAAAGCACACTACAGTAAACTAGAAATATTTGCTTAGATGGAATATACAAAATTACCTATTACGTACGTACATATCCACAAGATCTTAGGGCGGTGGGGTAACCTGGTGGTAAAAGAGTTCGCTCGTCACGCCGAAGACCCGGGTTCGAATCTCCACATGGGCACAAAGTGTGAAGCCCATTTCTGGTGTCCCCCGCCGTGATGTATCTGGAATATTGCTAAAAGCGGCGTAAAACCATACTCACTCACTCACAAGATCTTAAGTTCCAGGAAGCAGAGACGTTGGTAGGGGAAGTGTGTGTACAAGTAGCATGTAAATGTCCGTTACTACCAACGTCATATACATGTAGGACTGTGACGATTAGAACTGTTCTTCATCAACCCATGCTTGTGGTCAGACGGGATCCGGTGGTCAGACTCGCTGGTCTGGCTGACGTATGTCACCTCAGTTGCGTAGGTTCAGGCCCATGAATTAATCACAGG